ACACACACACACACACACACACACACACACACACACACACACACACACACACATTGAGGATCTTATGTTAAAGTCTGTGGCCTACTCTGTCCATTTCTATATCACTTCCACCATTTGCCCCTAGGAGGAGGTTCAGGACAGCATAATGGGAGTGTGACCTGGACGATGTTCAAATGCTTGCCCTCCTACAAAGACCCTGAGGAAATGAAGCTGGAGCCCAGTGTCAGAAATCCACTTTCATAGGCTACAGTGTGGTCACCTAGAATGTTTGCTACTTTCTCCTACAGCCAAGCAAATGTTTAATTGTAAGAAACAAGTAAGCTTCAGAGTGGCAATGTGATGGTTTAAAATGTTACTCCGTATTTTGTTTTTTATTTTTCAGACAGTCTTGCTCTGTCACCCAGGCTGGAGTGCAGTGGCATGATCTTGGCTCACTGCAGCCTCTGCCTCCTGGGTTCAAGTGATTCTCATGACTCAGCCTCCTGAGTAGTTGGGACTACAGGCATGCACCACCATGCCTGGCTGATTTTTTTTTTTTTTTTTTTTTTTTTGTATTTTTAGTAGAGACGAGATTTCACCATGTGGCCAGGCCAGTCTTGAACTCCTGGCCTCAAGTGACCCACTCGCCTAGGCCTCTGGAAGTACTAAATTACGGTTATGAGTCACTGCGCCTAGCCTAAATGTTACTCCAAATTTTAGATCTGCTAAACTACTCTGAATTTACTTAAAAGACTGCTATGTCACAAAATCATGGTAGTCTCTTGATAAGCAGTCATTTACATTCATTTTGTAAGTAGATCTGAATGCTGTAATATTTCGAATGTCTAAAATATTTGTAAATAAAAATATGAGGTCAGGTGCAGTGGCTCATACCTGTAATCCCTGCACTTTGGGAGGATGAGGTGGGAGGATTGCTTGAGCCTGGGAAATCAAAGCTGCAATGAGCCTTTATTATGCCAGTGCACTCCAACCTGGGCAACAGAGTAAGACCCTACTAAGTAAGAGAGAAAGAAAGAGAAAGAGAGAGAGAGAGGAAAAGAGAAGGAAAGAAGGAAGGAAGGGAGGGAGGGAGGGAAGGCAGGCGGGCCAGGCAAGATGACTCAATCCTGTAATCCCAGCACTTTAAGAGGCCAAGGCAGGTGGATCGCCTGAGGTCAGGAGTACAAGACCAGCCTGGCCAACATGGTGAAACCCCATCTCTACTAAAAATACAAAAATTACCTGGGCATGGTGGCAGGTGTCTGTAATCCCAGCTACTCAGGAGGCTGAGGCAGGAGAATTGCTTGAACCCACGAGTTGGAGGTTGCAGTGAGCTGAGATCGTGCCACTGCACTTCAGCCTGGGCAACAGAGCAAGACTCGTCTAAAAAAAAAAAAAAAAAAGCTATGAATCTGTAGGTTCTAGCTCTGGGAAATTCTGGATAAAATGGAGTTAGCAGTTCACCTGCCTCAGGTGAGATAATGTAAAACTAGAAAGGTCCAAATCATTGTGATGTCAAATTGAATCTATTTATCAAAACAGCACCCAAATGCAATATGTTCAAAAAACTTACAGTGTTAGGTAATATGGTTACATAGACAAGATTAAAAATATAGGCCAGGTGTGGTGGCTTGCACCTGTTATCCTAGCATTTTGGGAGGCCAAGGTGGGAGGATCACTTGAGACCAGGAGTTCAAGACCAACCTGGGCAACATAGTAAGACCTCATCTCTATAAAAAATATATATATATAAATGTGGCCGGGCACAGTGGCTCATGCTTGTAATCCCAGCACTCTGGGAGGCCAAGGTAGGAGGATCACGAGGTAATCCTGTAGTCCCAGCTAATCAGGAAGCTGAGGCAGGGGAATCACTTGAACCGGGAGGCAGAGGTTGCAGTGAGCCAAGATCTCGCCACTGCATTACAGCCTGGCAACAGAGTGAGACTCTGTCTAAAAAAAAATATATATATATATATATAAAATAAAAATACACATAATGTATAAAGATATATATATATATATAAAGATATTTATATATATATATTTGTACATGTTAACTTGGAGTGAGGGGTGCAGGGAGGGCAGAAAGGAGAAAGTCATAATATTAAGCATCGGTAAACAACTCTAGAGCTGGGCACTGTGATTCATGCTTGTGATCCCAGCTGCCTGAGAGGCTGAGGCGGGAGGATTGCTTGAGGCCAGGAGTTCAAGACCAGCCTTGACAACATAGTGAGACTCCCTCATCTCTGAAACAACAACAAAAAGTTAATTAAAAATTAAAAGAAAATAAAACTCCATAGCAGTCTTCTTCTGGAAAAGAAGTCCCAAAGCCACTTGCCACTGACACAGAGGTGTGCAGAGCCTGAGGAACAGAGTCATAGGAGCTCTGTATGTTGATCTTATTCCTGGCTAAAAGATATTTCTGAAAGAAAGGAGCCTGGAGCGTCTCTGTTTGTGAATTCATTTTTCAGGGGTGGGGTGATTTCAAGAGCCCAGGCTGTTTCCTGACTGTGCACACTGAGCCAGCCTGGAAGCCTCAGGCCCCAGCCAGGCTGACCACGAGCCAGACCCGGAGTAAGCTTCGTCCCACGCTTCCTGTTGGTCCAGGCAGCCTGAGTTTCCTGGTGACCCTTCCCTGCACCCAGCTGATTCAAAGGCCTGGCAAGACCTGGTGCCAGCCAAGAAAATCTCAGGCGGCCAGGTTTGTTATTTCAAATCTCTAAACCTTCAGACCTCTGGGCTTGGTTTATATATGTGAAAGCTAAAACAAGGATGTGTGTCATGGTGGTGATTATAATTCAAGTCTGACCAGCCTTCAAATGTCAGCCCATGCTGAATTTCACAAATTTAACTCAGATAACAAAATAATTAACATGAGCGGATGTAAAATGGTACTGCCATGCTAGAAAACAGCTTGGCAGTTTTTTGTAAATTTAAACATACACTTACCATAAGACCAGCAATCACCCTCCTGGGTATTTATCCCAGAGAAAAACAATTTATATACATATAAAATATTGTACATAAATTATTATAACAGCTTTATTTGTAATAGTCATGTATCAATCAGGATCCTCCAAAGAAATAGGGTCAATAAAAGATATATATATATGTATAATAAATCATATGTATAAATCATATATATAAGAAGCTATATATCTATACACACATATATATATCTCTCTCTCAGGGTTCTCCAATGAAATAGAAAAAATAGGATCTATATATACATAATAAATCATGGCCAGGCATGGTGGCTCATGCCTGTAAACCGAACACTTTGGGAAGCCAAGCCAGGGGGATCATTTGAGTCCAGGAGTTTGAGACCACCTGAGAAGCATAGTGAGGCCCTGTCTCTACAAAAAAAAAATTTTTTTATTAGGCAGGTGTGAGCCAGGCACAGTGGCTCATGCCTGTAATCCTAGCACTTTGGAAGGCTGAGGCAGCAGATCTCCTTGAGCTCAGAAGATCAAGACCAGCCTGGGCAACAAGGTGAAACTCTGTCTCTACAAAAAATGCAAAAATTAGCCAGGCATGGTGGCACATGCCTGTGGTCCCAGCTACTCAGGAGGCTAATGCTGGAGAATTGCTTGAACCCAGCAGGTGGAGGTTGCACTGAGCCAAGATCACACCACTGCACTCCAGCCTGGGTGACAAAGTGAGACCCTATCTCAAAAAAAAAAAAAAAAAAAAAAATAGTATCCAGGTGTGGTGGTGCACACCTGTGGTCCCAGCTGCTCAGAAAACTGAGGTGGGAGCACTGCTTGAGCCTAGGAGGTTGAGGCTGCAGTGACCCATAATCACACCATTGTACTCAAGCCTGGGTGACAGAGCAAGACCCTCTCTCAAAAAAATATATATATATATGTGCATAGGAAATTATATATATTGATCTATAGAGATAATATGTATATAATAAATCACATATATTTATAATATATACATTTATTATAAAGAATTGACTCACGTGATTATAGAGGTTGATAAATCCTAAGATGTGCAGTTAGCAAGTTGAAGACCAAGGAGATGGATGCTATCATTCTAGTGCAAAGGCCAGCAGGCTGGATACCCAGGAAGAGCAGGTGTTTTGGTTCTAGTCCAAAGGCAGGAAAAAAACTGATGTCTCAGCTCAAAGGTAGTCAGGCAGGAGGGATTCTCTGTTATTCAGGGAAAAAGTCTTTTTGTTCTATTCAGGCCTTCAACTGATTGGATGAGGCCCATCCACCTAAGGGAGGGCAGTCAGCTTTATTCATTCTATTGACTTGGATGTTAAACTCACCCAGAATCACCCTCACAGAATCAACTATCAGGGCACCCCATAGCCCAGTCAAGTTGACACATAAAATTAACCATCACAAGTCAAAAATTGGAAACAGGCCAAATGTCCCACAACAAGTGAACAGATAAACACATTATGGTATATCCATTCAATGAAGTAACTCAGCAATAAAAGGCAATGATCTATTGATCCATGCAACAATGTGGATGGGGCTCAGGGCTTTTTGCTGAGTGTAAAAAGCCAATCTCAAAAGGTCACATACTGGCAGGGCACAGTGGCTCACACCTGTAATCCCAGCACTTTGGGAGCCTGAGGTGGGCAGATCATAAGGTCAGGAGATTGAGACCATCCTGGCCAACATGGTGAAACCCCATCTCTACTAAAAAAACAAAAAATTACCTGGATGTGGTGGCACACACCTGTAGTCCCAGCTACAGGCTGGGACTGAGGCAGCTACAGGCTGAGGCTGAGAATCACTTGAACGCAGGAGGCGGAGCCTGCAGTGAGCCGAGATAGTGCCACTGCACTCCAGTCTGGGTGACATAGCAAGACTATCAAAAAAAAAAAACAAAAACCCACATACGGTCTGATTCCATTTATATAACATTCTTTTTTTTTTTTTTTTTTTGAGATTGAATTTTCACTCTGTCACCCAGGCCGGAGTTCAGTTGCACGATCTCACCTCACTGCAAACTCTGCCTCCGTGGTTCAAGCAATTCTTGTGCCCTGGCCTCCTGAGTACTTGGAATTACAGACATGTACCACCATGCCCGGCTAATTTTTGTATTTTTAGTAGAGGCAGGGTTTTACCATGTTGGCCAGGTTGGTCTCAAACTCTTGACCTCAAGTGATCTGCCTGCCTCGGGCTCCCAAAGTGCTGGGATTACAGACATCGGCCACCATACCTGACCCTGTATAACATTCTTGAAGTGACGAAATTCTAGAATGGGAGAATAGATCTGTGGTTCCAGGGTTATGGTTGGAGGAAGGATGTGACTGAGGGGTAAGAGGAAGGAATTTCCTTTTTTTTTTTTTTGAGACGGGGTCTCGCTCTGTTGCCCAGGCTGGAGTGCAGTGGCACAATCTCAGCTCACTGCGACCTCTGCCTCCCAGGCTCAAGCAGTCCTCTCACATAGCTGGGACTGCAGGAGCATGCCACCAGGCTCAGCTAATTTTTGTGTTCTTTGTAGAGATGGGGTTTCACCATGTTGCCCAGGCTGGTCTCAAACTCCTGAGCTCAAGTGATCCACCTGCTTCAGCCTCCCAAAGTGCTGGGATTACAAGCATGAGGCACCATGCCCAGCCCCAGGAAGAAATTTCTTGGTGGTGATGGAATACTTCTGTATTGTTATTGTGGGGATGGTTACTTGACTCTATGCATGTGATAAAATTTCATAAAACTTGTCCAGGCGGGCCGGGCGCGGTGGCTCAAGCCTGTAATCCCAGCACTTTGGGAGGCTGAGGCGGGTGGATCACGAGGTCAAGAGATCGAGATCATCCTAGTCAACATGGTGAAACCCTGTCTCTACTAAAAGTACAAAAAATTAGCTGGGCATGGTGGCACGTGCCTGTAATCCCAGCTACTCAGGAGGCTGAGGCAGGAGAATTGCCTGAACCCAGGAGGCGGAGGTTGCGGTGAGCCGAGATCGCGCCATTGCACTCCAGCCTGGGTAACAAGAGTGAAACTCCGTCTCAAAAAAAAAAAGTTTAAAAAAAAAAAAACTTGTCCAGGCTCAGTGGCCTGTAATCCCAGCACTTTAAGAGGCCAAGGTGAAAGGATCACTTGAGACCAGGAGCTTGAGGTTATAGTGAGCTATGATTGTGCCACTTTTCTTCAGCCCGTCTCAAACATTTTTTTTTTCATAGAATTACATACCAAAAGAAAAAGATGAATGTCTCTTTGGTGTGTATCTATGATATTTCCAATACTGCTTTTGAGACTTTATACACATTACATGCAGTATTGATAGTAACAGGCCAGGTGCAGTGGCTCACACCTATAATTTGAGCACTTTGGGAGGCCAAGACAGGCGGATCACTTGAGTCCAGGCATTCGAGACCAGCCTGGGCAACATAGTGAGACCTCAGTTCTACAGGAAAAGAAAAAAAAAAAAAAATTGGCTGGGTGCAGTGGCTCACGCCTATAATTTTAGCACTTTGGGAGGTGGAGTTAGGTGGATTGCCTGAGCTCAGGAGTCCAAGACCAGCCTGTGCAACACGATGAAACCCCATCTCTACTAAAATACAAAAAAAATCAGCTGGGCGTGGTGGTGTGCACCTGTAATTCCAGTTACTTAGGAGGCTGAGGCAGGAGAATTGTTTGAACCTGAGAGGCAGAGGTTGCAGTGAGCCAAGATCACACCATTGCACTCCAGCCTGGGCGACAGAGCATGACTCCGTCTCAAAAAAACAGAAAAAAAGGTGGTGTGTGCCTGTAGTCCCAGCTACTTGGGAAACTGAGGTAGGAGGATTGCTTGAGCCTGGGAGGTCAAGGCTATAGTAAGCCAAGATTGGGTCACTGTACTCCAGCCGGAGCGACAGAGTAAGATTCTGTCACGAAAAATAAAAATAAAAATAAAAACAAACCAGACAGACAGTAATATTAGGAATAAACACTATTATCCCATTTTATAGTCAAGGAAACATACTGAAAGAGTGTAATCACCACAAAATCACATAGCTGGTAAGTGGCAAAACCAGGACTTAAACCAAATCTACCTGACTCTAAGGCTTTGGGCCTTTCTCATATAGCCTGCTAACATGTACACAAGCTCAACAAATTGGGCTTCCATCCTTCCCATGATAGATCTTTCTAGCTCTGATGTTCTCACTGTGTTTTCTGTAGTCCCTGGATAAACACAGAAAGTCCTGCTCTGTGAAGAGGCCATAAAAATTAGCAGAGATGAAGCATTGGAGAGCAAACTCCAGGACAAGTCCAGACAGACAGATGGCTCAGCCCAAGGTCAGGGTCCTCCTAATACCTCACTTGAAGTTAGACGGCAGGCCGGGCATGATGGCTCATGCCTGTAATCCCAGCACTTTGGGAAACCGAGATGAGTGGATCACCTAAGGTCAGGCGTTCGAGACCAGCCTGGCCAATATGGTGAAACCCTGTCTCTACCAAAAAACTCAAAAAAAATAGCCCGGTGTTGTGGCATCCATCTGTAGTTCCAACTACTCAGGAGGCTGAGGCAGGAGAATCCCTTGAACCCGGGGGATGGAGTTTGCAGTGAGCCAAGATCACTCCATTGTACTCCAGCCTAGGTGACAGAGCAAGACTCTGTCTAAAGAAAAAAAAAAAAGAATTTAGATGGCAACCAACTTTCCAAGGGCATGTGTCTCTGGGATCCCTCCCCTGACTCTCCAGGCTAAGCTGTGGACCGCTCTTCCATGCTCCCACATCAGCAGGATTTACCTTTATCAAGGACTTAACATACAGTTCTAGAATCACCAATGTATAATTTGTTGATTCGAGAGCCTCCCACAGACCTTGACCTGGGTAGAAGCCCAGTAAGTGTTTGCTGGGTGAATGAAGGAACTGCAAGAATTTTTTTTTTTTTTTTTTTTGAGACGGAGTTTCGCTCTTGCTACCCAGGCTGGAGTGCAATGGCGCGATCTCGGCTCACAGCAGCCTCCGTCTCCTGGGTTCAGGCAATTCTCCTGCCTCAGCCTCCTGAGTAGCTGGGATTACAGGCACGTGCCACCATGCCCAGCTGATTTTTTGTATTTTTAGTAGAGACGGGGTTTCACCATGTTGACCAGGATGGTCTCGATCTCTTGACCTCGTGACCCACCCGCCTCGGCCTCCCAAAGTGCTGGGATTACAGGCGTGAGCCACTGCGCCCAGCCTAGGAACTGCAAGAATTTTATGCAAGGGCTGTGGACTCAAAAGCCTTCAGAGGCCAGGCAGACATCACCAATGAATAAGGTTGGGGATGGTGATTCGTAGGGAGTGGAGAGGACAGGAGTGGAGGGGGAACGTGTGCTGGAGCCACAGGGGCAGCTGCCACTCCACTTGGCCTCATGCTGCCAGATGGGAATGTGGGCCATCTATTACCACATCTGATTTTTCAAAAGAAGCCAAAATCTAGCCTTTTATGATGAGTTCCTGATTTTTTCATGTTGTGGACTAATTTTAAGCTTTTTAAATTAAATGAAGGCCAGCTGGGCATGGCGGCTCACTCACACCTGTAATCCCAGCACTTTGGGAGGCCAAGGCAGGCAGATCACAAGGTCAGGAGTTCAAGACCAACCTGACCAACGTGGTGAAACCCCATCTCTACTAAAAATACAAAAATTAGCTGAGCATGGTGGCACACGCCTGTAATCCCAGTTACTCAGGAGGTTGAGGCAGGAGAATTGCTTGAATCCAGGAGGTGAAGGTTGCAGTTAGCTGAGACCGTGCCACTGCACTCCAGCCTGAGCAATAGAGCGAGACTCTGTCTCAAAGAAAAAAAAATTAAGTGAGGGCCAAATGAGACACACATGCTAGCTGAATACTGCCCAGAGAACATGATTTAGAATTTCTGCTTTGAAACTTCAGGATGTTCCAGAGTTTCTGATGCAGTGACAGTGATTTTGCTGATGACTACGAGACAAAGGATCCACAGCAAGTAAAGGAAAGCCAGTGTCACCAACAGCCATAAGCCAATTCCACATTGACGGCCTCCCACTGGGAGAGGCTCCAAGAGCTCTAAAGGTAGGGTTGCAGGGAGCGCAGGGAGGAAGGTACAGATGGCCTATGACTGCTGGCTGGCATGGTATAAGACTCTTGTATAATTTGAACTCTCGTGAAACATGCATTTTTGGTGGATTATCAGATTATTTTTATCCTTGCACTAGTGGCACAAAGATCGGACAATCCCATGTAATGGTAAA